CATTGGCCTTCTTGGCCACCTGGGCACACTGCTGGCCCATGTTCAGCCTCCTGTCGATCAGCACCCCCAGGTCCCTTTCTGCCTGGCTGCTCTCCAGCCACTCTGTGCCCAGCCTGTAGCGCTGCAGGGGGTTGTTGTGGCCAAAGTGCAGGACCCGGCACTTGGCCTTGTTGAACTTCATCCCATTGGAGTCAGCCCATCTCTCCAGTCTATCCAGATCCCTCTGCAGAGCCCTCCTGAAACTAACTGTTTCTCCGGTGGCATAGCTCAACTGAACTCAAGGAAGAAAAACACTGAAAGGAAGCGACAAAAGAGAGCTCTCAATTACCTATCACTGGGCGATAAGGCAAGCAGCTGAGGACTAAGTGGGTTCTCCTTTAACAAAACAGTAAAAGGCAGTTTTGCAAGTCTTTGTTAAAATCCTTAAAAAATATGGGAGGATGGTAGAGGAAGAAGATTTAGAATGCTTCCTATTGTGGGCATCGAAAGCCAATCCCACGTTAAACGATAGCTCAATATATGATCCAAAAGTTTGGGATGATATCAGTTACAAACTTTGGGACAGCACCATGCTCGGTGATAAAATGACTACCTCTCTATTAATACCATGATTAGTGGTTTTTGAGGCACTGCAAGCCCATGCCAGCTCCAGAGAGGAAAGCATAGAAATGGCAACCAATTTCTAGTCGGCATGACTGTTGGCACAGACGCCTTGTGTGCCGGTGCTGGCCCCCGTTCTGGTGCCGCAGACGACTTCTGCATAGGTCCTTATGACACCTTCTTCCCCCCCACTGCTGCCATTAGCAGATAACGTGGTGCTACCGAAAACAAAGTCTTCACTACCGCCCAGCAAGCGTAGTGCCGCCACTGCTGCAAACGCAGTCTCCCCATTGATGGATTCTGATGAGGATTTCTCTGAGAACACTCTTTATACAGATAAGGAAAAGGATTCAAACTTATATACCCCTGATTATCGGGACACGTGGGCAGGGGTGAGGGGGGAGGCAAAACGTGAGGGGGGGTGCGGCAGTCCTAAAAACTTTCCTGGTTTTGGTTTCACCTGGCTTGGACCCGCACTGGGAGGGTTTATCATATGCACTTATTAAAGATGTTAGGCGAAAGCGGAACAGACCATGGTTTGGGGTCTCCATATACTGTTCATGTGATAGAATCCATCTGTGATAGCCAAGTGTTTAGCCCTCACAATTTTAAGATACTGTTTCTCTTAATAATGACTGACATGCAATACACCATGTGGGAATCCAAAATGAGACAACTAGCAGAAAAACAAGAGATTGCAAATTCGGTTGTGGGAGCATGTAACCCTTTACAAAAGGTTACTGTGGATGTTCTGATGGGACAGGGCAAACATGTTCCTAATGTAGAACAAACCCAGACGTTCCAC